TGGTACAAACCACCCTATGGAACAGTGGTGCATGTACCACCTGTGGCTCAGCACAGACGTGTATGATCCAAGAACTCCATTTTGAGCTACAGGCTCAAGAGAAATACAAATACAACTCTCGCATTTGGTGGAAACTTCTGTCTTCCACTAATCTGCTGAAATGACCAACACAGAGGGACAGCAAAGAGGCACTCAGTTTATTACGTGTTCTGGACCTTTTAGATAACCAGGAATTGCTCTTTTGGCCACACACAAGTGTGAAGGTGGTGCTGCAGACCTCAAGGAGAGGGGTGCTGTTCCGAGAGATGGCACCATGGACACCTGGAAGCATCAAGGCTTACCTGGCAGCTGCTGGCACTGCTGCAGAAAACCAGCTAAGGACAAGAGCCTTGCCAAGAGAATGAGTGCATGCACTGTATGTATTAAGCTCTAGATGTGAAAGCCAAACGTGTGAGGAAAAACCAACAGAAACAGGAGGCAGCCACAGAAGGGCGGTGCCAGCCTACTGCACCCAGAGAAGCACAGGCGAAGAACTAACAAGACGGAGCATGCCCTGCGAGCACAGGGCACAGGTGCAAAAACACTGAAAAAAGACCGCTGGAGGCCAGGCGTGGGGGAGAAATGATGAGGCGAGGTGAGGCGAGCAGGAGAATCACAAGTCCAAGCCCAGTGCGAGCAATTCAAGAGATTTAACAAGACCCTATCTGAAAAAAGCAACTTTTGGATTGTAGAATAAAATGTATGTGCACTGCTTGTATGGGCATGTTCACAGTAGCATTATTAACAGTAGTCAAAAAATAGAGGCAACTCAAATATCTACCAACTAATGAATGCATGAGCAATATGCAACATGTCCACATGATGTAGTATAATTGAGCAAGCAAAAGAGACTATTGAAACATGTTATTAGGTAAGTAAACCTCAAAACCACTGCAGCTAAGCCACAGAAGCCGGCCAGCACACACCATAACAGATAATTCCATTTATATGAAATCCTTCCAAAGTATGTAAATCTATAGACAAAAAGTAGAGTAGTTGGGCACGATGGCACACACCTGTAATCTCAGCACTCAGGAGGCTGAGGCAGGAGGACTGCTATGAGTTTGAGGCCGGCCTAAGTTACATAATGAATTCAAGCTGTCTGACCTACACAGTGAGACCCTGTCTCAATCCTGCTTCCTTCCCCAGAAAAAGTAGAGTGATGCTTACCATGGGCTTACTGAGGGACCTGTGTGTGTGTGTGGCACTGCTAAATCGGTAGGAGGTTACTTTTAGGGACAATAAAAATATACATATACTTTTATATCGGTACCGGGGATCGAACTCATGACTGCGTGCTTGCAAGGCAGGCGCTTATGCCGTTGAGCTAAATCCCCAGCCCCACAATAAAGGTATTTTAAAATTAGATTATGCTGATACTTACATAGCTGTGGAAATACTAAAAACTGCCAAACTGTATATTTTATTATTATTATTTGGTACTGGGACTCGAACTCAGGATTTTGTGCTTGCCAGGCAGGAACTCTGTCACTGAGCTATAACCCTGGACCCAAATCTGTATTCTTCAAATAGGTGGGTTTTAAAATTTATTTTTATTTACTTATTTAGACAAGTCTCACTATGTAATCCAGGCTGTCCTCGAACTCATAGCAATCCTCTAGCCTCAGCCTCGCAAGAATTTAGCGGTATGCGCCACAGGTGAACCTTATGTATTATATCTGAGTAAAGCTGCTGCAGCTGCTGCTAATTATTAGGGTTTTTTTTTTTTTTTTTTTTTTTTTTTTTTTGTCTTTTTCGTTTTTATCGGTACCAGGGATCGAACTCGCGACTGCCTGCTTGTAAGGCAGGCACTAATGCCGCTGAGCTAAATCCCCAGCCCCAATTATTTGTTTTTTGACGCAGCCAAGCAGGGGTGCAGGAGATTGCAAAGCACCCTCAAAGGAGAGAGCTGAGGAATTGTTTTTATGGGCTGGGAGAGGGGTGGAGACTACGTGGATGGGTGGACTCTGTCGGGATGGGGAATTGGAGGACCTTTAGCGCATGCGCGAAAGGGAGATGGAACCTTTATCGTTTTGGGACCAGAACACGCAGGGGAGTTAGCGCAGGAGAGATAGCGGTTGTATTAGGTGTCAGCGCCATGATGCACTGGCACCGTGTAAAATCTGATACAATCCTATACAAGTGAATTTCATCATTAATAATAATAATAATAATAATAATAATTGCCATCAATGAAGTTAACTGATAGGTACAAGGCTTTCATCTACTACATCTGATAAAGAATGACTATTTTAAAAAAAGAATGACTTTTATTGTTATTATTATTTTTGTCTTTTTCCTTTTTATCGGTACTGGGGATTGAACTCATGACTGCCTGCTTGCAAGGCAGGTGCTTATACCACTGAGCTAAATCCCCAGCCCCAGAAAGACTATTTTAATACACAAAATGTGTATACAAAATGCAAGCTAGATTTTTTTAAAAAATCAAAAACCTGAAAGAAAAGAAGAGCAACTAAGATGGATAGGCAACTCACAAACAGCAAAACAATATGAACAGATTCTCTACTCAAAACAAACATAGAGAAGTGCTTTAAGCTACCAGACAGACAAAATAATAAATTAGATAATAGGGGCTGGAGATTTAGCTCAGCAGTGTGAGTGCCTGCCTTGCATGAGTGTGGTGGTGAGTTTGATCCCCGGTACCAATAAAAAATAAATAAAATAAATTAGATAATAGTAGAGGCAGATGCTGGGAAAGGCTCTGCATGCGCCATGGTAGGAAGAAAACAGTGAAGCCATTCTGTAGCACATGGGCAATGTTTAGAAAGTCAGCATGATATCCTAGAGCCATCGATGCCACACACCTCTGTCTACACCTGTCTGTCTCCATCTGTGCATCTGTCCCAGAGAACTCTTGCAACAGCCAGAAATAACAAACTAGATTTACATACAGGGACACAGATGACTAAAACACATAATGCTAAAGATAGAGACAGTATGAGACTTATAGAACAATGATGTTTATTTCGGTAAACTTAACCAATGCAAAACATGACCTACCTTTCAAGGTGCACATATTTCTAAAGCAGATATAATATAAGATTTCTTCCAAAGAATATATATGGATGTTTAGTGTGACTGCGTAAAGGTTGGGGGTATTGGGAAAAGACAGATGTTAAAGGGGAAAAAAAACAACAAAATAAAAGACAAGCTTTCAATGGAGCTAGAATGCAGGGTGTGGTGGTACACTTCTGTCATCCCAGCACTCGGGGCTGAGGCAGGAGGATCTTTCCAAATCCGAGACCAGTCTGGGCTGCAAAGTGAGCTCAAGGCCAGCCTGAACTACATAGTGAGACTCTGTCTCAAAAAAGAACCCCCTCCACCCATAAATAAATAAATGGAGCTAAGAGTATATTGTGCCACAAATTAAGGAATATGATGGTTCAATTCTTTGGACCCTACGGCCAAAAGGGAATAAACAAATTTCCATGCATTACTTCTTAATGAAAAATGTAATAAACTGTATCACACAGTTGTTAGTAAAAGATGTAGATGACCAAACTACCATAAAGAAAAATAGGTGGCTGGGAAGCCAGGCTGGGTCCTGGGCTGAGTCAGGCAGTCTTCAGGAAGAGCCGGGGTAATAAAACACAGGCCTATGGTCCAGCACTGACTCCACCTTCTTACCCACACACCAAAGAGCGTTAAGAGAAAGAACCACCTTTCACAATTTACATTAGAGACAAAAATCTAACTTTTTGGCTCATGAAAAGCAGGTTTTTACTGCCGGGCCTGGGGCTCATTCATGTAATCTCAGCATTTGGGAGGCTGAGGCATGAGGATCATTTACAAGTTTGAGCCCAGCCTGGGCTACCAAGTGAGCTCAAGAACAGCTTGAACTGCACAGCGAGACTTTTCTTTCTCAAAAAGACAACAAACCAACCAACCTCAGTTTTTTACTAAAAGCAATGAATAGGAAACGCACCCTGGGATGGAGCAGAAGGGGATCCCCATGTTTTAAAGACTCAGGGCCGGGTTATCTAACCCAAAAGGTCAGGTCGGACTCATGTTTACCGAGACAAAAGTTAGTCAAAGGGGTTCCTCCGTGTTGCCACCCAAACAGCCGCCCTTCAAACATCAGAGCGCGCTGCGCTCCGCTTCCGACGCGGGGCTCGCGCTCCCGGGCCGAGCAGGCTGTGCTCACGGCCGCAGGGAGTCAGCTCGAAGGCTGGCGACCTTGTTTTCACTCCACCGCCGGGAGGGCCGGGCCGCCTGCACCCGACGCGGAGACCGAGGCGGAGCAGGGCGCTGGGCCGCGGTGACGCGGGAACCCGGAGTTCGCTCCGCGTCTTCTCGCTTCGGTTTCCGCACATCCGCGCCGGGGCGCCCGGCCTCCGGCCGCAGAGATCGCGCTCCGACTCCGTCCCGCCCGACTCCGTCCCGCCCGGCTCCGTCCCGCCCGGCTCCGTCCCTCCCGCCCGGGCCGCTGCGCCCCCCTTGTGTCCCGCGCTCCGCAAGGCGGAGCCCGCGAGCTCCGCCGGGCAGGGGCTGGCTTACCTCGCCGCGCGGCCGGCCTGGCCGGGCTCTGCGTCCGCCGCCGCCGCCGCCCTCCGCGCCCCTCGCCCGGCCGGAGCGGAGCCGCGCGCGTCCTGGCCTCGGCCGCTCCGTTTTCCTCAGCGACATCGGGGGAAAGCGAAAGCGAAAACCCCGGGGAGGAGGGCGCCCGGCCAGCGGGGAGCGCGGGGAGCGCGGGCCGGCAGCCAGGGGGCGGCGGCCTCGGCCTGAGGCGGCGGCCCGCAGCCCGCACAGGGCCCCGGAGAGGACTCGGGAGTGGACCCGCCGGGAAAACGGAAGTCTGCGGCGGCGGCGGGGACGGGGCCTTGCCGTGTCGGGAGAGAGGGGCTCCCGGGTTGGGACACCAGCCCCGGCCTCGCCCCTTCCTGACTGAGCGGGGCTAGGACTTCACCGGCCCGCAGCCCCTGGACGGTGCTCGCACCTACCTGGGGCCGGCAGCAAGGTGCTGAGGCGATGCGAGGACGAAAACGCTGGACGCAGTGTCCAGTCAGCTCTAGGTGGACTCTCGAGGCTGGGTCCTGTCCAGTGGTGGTGGGGTTGACCCATCTCCATGGTAACCGGAGCGGTTTCAAAGTCTGGGCGCTGTCACCGTGACTTGGGAGACCCAGAAGGCACTGCAGTTGGCCTGGCGACTCACCCCCATAATGAGGCCATCTGGTCAGGGTAGGGTCCCAGAGTGGGGGGGCACGGCCCCTGCCTGAGCAGGAACATATTTCTCTAAGCATTGTTTATTTCTCTCTGAACATTTCTACCCACTTGCTTTGGAAAATATTGACAAGACTGAATTCAATGTTTGGAATACAGCAAATACAAAGTTTTGTGTTTTTTTTTTTTTTTTTGGTTACAGAACAAAGATGAGGCAGTTTGAAAACTGGAGCAGAAAAAACAAACATTACTCTGCCTAAATTCACAACATTGCATTTGTAATTTCACCTGCATGATGGAGGCCTTGGTATGTAGAAGCCTTTGTCATTTCCCTCAAGAGCAGGTTGGGTCATGGGCAGGACAAATGGGGACCCTGGCAAAACAACAGCCAGGGTTTCCCTCTTAGTAATATGATGCTTTTGTTTCTCAGTGGAAAAGAAAGGGAGCGAGCCTTTTCCTCCCTGGGGGAGTTTCTGGTTCGGTGAGAGCAGAGTGGAGCTAAGTCTGCTTCCGTATAAAGAGTAAGTCTGGAAAATGAAGATCAGGAAGATCGAGAACACGGGACAGTAAAGCCAAATCCCGGTTTCCTCCTATACATCTTACAAATGTGGACAGTGCCAGAAGGCTGGCCCGGAATCTTTTATCTCTGTGATTTCCCATGGTCCAGATTTCTCCTTTACCTTGTGGGACCAAAAATCTTGGCTGATTTTGTTGTCCGGGGCTTGATTAGTACTGTTGTATAAAGCCAGAATTAAATTAAATTAAATTTTTGAGGCAGGCTTTTGCTATGTAGCCCAGGCCTCCAACTCATGATCCTCTGGCCTCAGCCTCCTGAGCACTAGGATTACAGAGGTGCGCCACCACACCTGGTCCCAGAGCTTTTGATGGCTGCAGCACCCCTGGTTTTGACACTGGTCAACCTGGGGAGGCATCTGGCATGCGGTCTGCCTTCCTTGTCTCTTTAGCCTTCATTCCTGTACCCTGGCATCTTGTTCCCATGGAGACTAAGTAAGTGCACAGAAGTGCTGCTCTGAGGGGAACCAGAACACTTGTACAGGAAAATCGTTAGTCAGTGAATCAGTGAAGATGTCCAGGACACAGTATTATATAGTCACGCTACAGTCTAACCCCCGCCACAGTTAGCCCACAAGGACAGTCAGGTGGCAAGGGCTCACCAAATTCTGAAAATATGATTAAAGACAGTTGCTGTTATTTAAAAAATCATTTCGTTTATTAGAACTCTCTCACTTTTCAAGGCACTTCAGTAGCTTTCACAAAAATACATTTTTTTAAAAAACTAAATAAAGCATGTGCTTTAGGAGTACCATGGCAACATAACCAGAAGGAAGACAATTATACTGAACACGAGTATCTCCTGATGATCTGATATGACGGAAGTGGGCAACTCTCAAAGACTGAGACATGATTTTTGTTTCTTTTCACAATTTTCCTCATGATTAGGTCTCCCAAGAGGAACGCACACAGTGAGACTTTTTGGCACTCAGAGAAGTGCTAGTGGCTGAGGCTGGGAAGGCCCCGTGCAGCAGCAATCACACATTGCCAGAGCGAGCCTGGGCTGAGAAGAAAATGAGAAACAAACTGGGGAACAGCCTTTCTCAAGCCTCTGCGGGAGGGCAAATAACTTAAGGTACAGACAACAATAAACAAAACAACAAAACAAAATCCTCTGCAGTTCTGAGGAAAGCAGATTTCTCACTGAACCACAGGCCAGAAGCCTATGTGGAGGAGATCTGATTTACACAGTATTGAAAACAAGAAGGGCAGACGGACCTGTGCATTTCTCACGGGCTGGACAGGCCCAGGCCTCTGATCGGACGTGAACGAGTCCACCTGGCAGCACACGGAGCGGTCACAGATCACCGCTCTGAGTGGCTCAGTCCTCTCCTCCTTGGTCAGCCTTAGGTCTCTGGTCCTGTGCCCTTCTCCAGTGGGTACTCGATCATCCCAGTTAACATCCTTGGTAACTGAGAAAAGGTGAGAAATCAAACTCTGTGGAATTATTTCTTTTCCTTTAAACTTTACCACTTAGGAAAAGAAAAGAGAAAACTGAAGACCTCCAGTTTCACTGGAGGCCTGTCCAGGTAGTCTGAGATTAGAAAGTGTATCTAGTAGATGTGGTGCACATCCTGCCAAATCCCTCTGTTCTGGGGAGTCCATAACTCCTCTAGGGGTGCCAGGCCCTCAGCTAACAGCTGGCACGCTGGGACACGTCTGAGTTGTCTGTAGGTAGCCACAGTGTCCCTGGAGGAAGGAAGAGCACCAGAACCGCAAGCACTCTCTGAGGATGGGTTCCCTTCCGTGAGCAGGTCAGGCAGAAGTCAAAGCCCTTTGTCACCGAAGGACCGGAGTCTGCACAAGATGTTTCTGACGAGATGCAGGCTTTCCGCTTCCATTTCTTCCATTTGCATTTCCAACTCGGTACTGGAGTTGTGTTAAAAGGCTGTGGCTTTAAGGATTGTGGGGCTTTCTTCACCATCTTTTAACATCCTTGTGAGGCTTGGGGTTTGCCTATGTTTTAGTCTATTAGAATAAGCAAAACAAAGGTTAGTAACATCCTGAAACAAATCAGCTTCCGAACAGTCTCACAACAAAATCAGCCAGAAATGAGGATCTTTTCACCAGTGAAAGAGGTTTCTGCTGGTTCGTGTGTATCCCAGAGCTGCAGCCTCCACGGAGCTGTGCGTAGAGCAAGTCCACACAGGATCGGACCACTGCCATTTACCACCCTCTCAAGGCTAACCCAGTCCAAGGTGCTCAGAGAGTCTGCAGGGGGCTCCTTGGCACGGCCAGGCCTAGACCTAGTGCATTCACACTGGGGTGGAGAAGCAGCCCTCCTTACCCTTTGACCCTCAGCATCTGGTCGATGGTGTCTGGGAGAGGGGTGCCAAAGCTCTCTGGCAAGAACAGGGTGAGGATGGCTGTCAGGATGGTCAGACTTCCCATGAGGATGTAAGGGAGGAAGCGATCATAGGCACCTGTGTCGAAGCAGACAGAACCGTAAGCCCCAGGGTGCAGTGATTCTTGGTCTCTCCCAATCCCTTCGTGTTCCCAGCACTCAATTAAAAGCATCACCTCCTCAGTGGCCTCAGCACTTCCGCTGTCTGAGTTGTCAGGATGGAATCTGGCACATCTCGGAGCCACAGCTGGCACAGGCTTGCCCAGAGATCCCACCATGCCCAGCCCATTGACTAAGAAGTGTGGGGCCCAGGTGAGCTCCGCTATGATGACTAGTCCTGTCTCCCAGTGTCAGGCTTCCAAGGAACACGGGGTACTTGTCTAGGGACAGGAATAACTCTTCCACCTCTGCGGATGTGTCACCACCTGCTTGCTTTGCCTCTGAGCTAGACGAGAAGGGGTTTTGGCTTGTTGGTTCTAGGCAGTCTGCTCCCAGAGCACTGTGGTTATTCTCATGGTGGAGTCCAGTCCTTCCCAAAGATGTACTGGCTAGGGATATACAGGGAAGCAGCCACTGCCATTAGGCCATACCCCAGAGAGAGATCACTGCTACCAAAAAGTGCACAGGACAGATCTTTTTTTTTTGCACGGTGAAGGACTGAACCCAGGGCTTCTGGGCAAGTGCTCTAGCCCCAAGCCCAGCCCTAGCCCTCCGGGGAGATCTTGCACAGATAAAACCACTGTGTAAGCTGCTCCAAGGTGCCCTGCTCTCTGTTCATGACATGTCTTGAATGTACATTTCCCCCTTGTGCTCCTTTTAAATTCCAATTCTAAGAAGAAATGTCTCCATTTAAGTAAATTGATTTCTTAATCACTCCACAGTTTCTTAGGCTAAAGAAACCATACTCTCTGATGAAGGCCTGAGTTGTCTAGAACTGAAACAAAACCCACTTTCCCATTACTTTCTGGCTAGTCTGTCAGATGGCATCCACTTGGAAGTGGCATCCACTTGGTGGTGGGTGTGTAACTCCGTGGAAGTGCACTAGCCTAGCATGTGTGAGGCTCTGGCTTCGATCTAGTCACACACACATTCTCTCTCTCTCTCTCTCTCTCTCTCTTTCTCTCTCTCTCTCTCCCTCTCTCTCTCTTTCACACACACTCACACAAAGGACCTAGACAGAAATCTTCCCCAGCAACCGATCCATTACTAGATGTGTCCCATTTGCCATATACACTTGTTTCCCTGGTAACAAGCTCTCTGGTTCCATGAAGGCAGTCAGTGTTAGTGTGCCATCGCTCCAGGATGCCTTGGGCCCACGGGCCTTACCGAGGTACACGAAGTAAGGAGACAGGATGCTGCCAAGGCGGGATGCTGTGGAGCTGACCCCCACGCCCATGTTTCTGACCACCGTGGGGTACAACTCAGCTGTGTACACGTAGACCATGGAGAAGGCAGCAGTGATGCCAAATTTTCCCACCATAACCAGGACTGTAGCCAGGTAATTCAGGTCTGGAAAGGCAAAGGAAAGAAAGTAGATATGCTGCTAGTGAGAGTTCCACTTCTATTCTGCCTGAAACAAACATTTACCACCCCAATTGTTTGGGAGGGGTGTTTTTGGGGTTGTTTTCTGTAACCTCCTGAGATGAAGGACCACAGCCAAGATTTCCAAATTGATTACTTAAAAGGAACTGGGACTCTCCACATCTTCCCCAACCTAAAGGCCGCCAGAGGAAACTCCCTGCAGCCCAATGCTCCTAGTGCAAAAGTCACTACAGAGGTATTTGGTAGGGGGTTAGCTGGTATTGCAGAACCTCACAGTGCAGGAACTGATGGAATTCACTAACAACTTCTGGATGAACGGAGAATTCAGTTCTAATTCATGCTTTCATCTTATGCAAGCCTCAGAAAATTCAGACCATCAAAACTGGTCTGTCCTTGCGGCCCACTGAAGAGACTGGATAATGACCAGAGTGTTGCTCTGAGCGTGAGTGTGAAACTGGGCTCCTTCTGTCATTCCTCATGTGGTCTGCAGAGGGCTCCCTGCTTGACAGGCCTCAGAGTGACTACCAGAGGCTCCCGAATTGCAGGGAGCGGCGCTACATACTCTGAGCACAGTGTCCATCACAGGACAGAGGACCTGTGATGAGGGCCTGTCCACTGTCCTAGAAGTTGTCAGAAAGGGTTCCTCTCACTAACCTGTGGGGTACCAAAACAATTTCAGAAAGAAAAGCCTGCCCATGGCCTCTGTGAACTTTCCTTCCTCTCCTCCTTCAGCTCTTACTTACTAACTGCCAGGCTCAGTCGCTGGCAGGTGTCTGCCTTTCTTATCTCTTCTGGAAATGTCCTCCCAGATGTCATGGCTTTGTGTCACTTCATGTTCTTTTCTGTTGCACTTTCTCCTGTTCAGGGACACTGTCAGTAGCTATTCTGTGACACTAGTGCCCCACTTTCCTTTACTTTTGTTCACAGAGGGTCATATAATCTGAACACTAATGAGCGTTTGGCTTGTTTGCTGTCTGTTTTCTCCGTGAGGCCAGGGGTTTTTGCCTGACTCGTTTACTTCCGTGTCATGAGTACCAAGCCCAGCACCTACCCTGTGGCAGGCCCTCCCAGCTGCTGGCTGAATGAATAATGAAAGAGGGCCAGAGTAAAAAGTAACGTGGGCATCTCTCTATTTCCCCCTTACAGGCACATACAGCTGAGGTCTGGAGTAAAATTAGCCACAGCTTCTGAGTTGTTCCTTTTTGCTTCCCTACTCCCTAAACATAAAGAATGCTCTGCTCTCATGAGGCACTCTGTCTGAAATTTTTAGGCCAAGAACACATATCTGCAGGACAGCTCTTTGGGGCTTAGTGTTGCTCTTTTTATTACTGAACTGAGAAGCCGGCCAGGTACACAGTCAGTGCCTCAGTGAAGATCTAGGACTGCAAATGCACATGGTCCCTACCTGGGGGCACCAGCTGCACGAAGAGAAGGACGCTGCCGCCCAGGAAGAGAGCAGTGGCCAAGGAATAGCGCCGGGGCACGTACTGCAGCAGCAGCCATGCCAAGATGTATGCTGGGACTTCGACCACCGCAGAAAGAAAGCCGTTCACATAGATGTCTCCGTAGAGGTTAGGAGTGTCAAGGGACAGTCCAAAGTAGCCCACTGATATGGTCATCCTGAAGGGTAGTACAGAAGAAAGCTAGAGAAGCAGTGTCCATAGCTCCCCACCTGTTCAACTTGGAAAATGCAATCATCTGGGAAAATTCTAAGCTACTCCTTAAGCAGAGCATAGGAAAGCAGTTTATTTAACCCCAAGCCTTACTTCACTGAACAAAAGGTAAGTCCCCCAGCCCAGATGGTATGCATAAATTCTTTGTCAGTGTACTCTCAGAGCATCCAAAACAAAGTTTCCCAGCACAAGGGATTATACCGTTCAGACAGCTTTATCTCACTAAAAAAATTCCAACCTGCCTTCAGCCTTAAAACTCCTAAGATGTAGCACTTATAGAAGCCTGCTTCCCTATTCTCTGAATTTCCCCAAATCCAGCAACTGCAGAAGGAGCCTGAGGCAGGAAACACAAAACAAGGCACAACAGGACACCAAACATTTGGAGAAAGACCGCTGGCAGACCGCGGTGGCCAGCCAGGAGGAGGAAGTCCCAGGGAGCTGACACCAGCCCCAGGTCCTCTCGTCTGTGTCCCCCTCAGTGTGCCTGGGTCCTCTGTCCCTAGTGCATTCTGTTGATGACTCAAACTCTTTGGCAGACCAGACCTTCATGGATCAGACTATTTTTGACTCATCTGCAGGTTTAAAACACAGCTGATATGAGGAAGGAGGAAGGGAAAGGATAGATCATGCTCTGGGAACTCAAGAGCAGGAGAAGAGTCTGGGTGAGTCCAAAAGGGTGACTCACTGCAGAAGGGCAAGTCTGGGGTGCAGGCTACATGCTGGGCCTGTCTTGTGGCAGACACAGAGAGTGGTACACTGCCCTGTGGTACCCGGGTCATTCCTTAGAAACAGTGACTCACAGTACCTCCCAGGTAGCCAGGTGAGCCTAGTAGTAAGGACTCTGAATGGAGTCTGTCCTCACTCAGTGAAGTCTCAGGTCTGCTCTCCCCACTCACTCAGCAGGCTCAGGAAGTCTCCCAGAACGCCAGGGGTCTGGCCACTAAGCAAAGTACCCCTGTACTCGGAAGAGGTTTCTTCTCCCTGGTAACTCACAAATTCCTTCCTGATAGCTTGTGGAATGCTTTGTTTTTAGGAATCTGGAGAGGAAGCAGCCCTGACTTGGCCCTGACTCCAGGACAGTCTCTGAACATCCCAGACGGAACACATCCAGAAAGCTCTCAGCACCTTCTGTCACCTGCAGGATAAGGTGTCTCCACTCAGATCCTTTCTAAGCCTCCCCTGTCCTCCTTAGTCACTGTCTGTGCCTAGGTGGGAGGATGGAAGGGACAGGAACAACTAAGCAAGGACCCACAGCCAGCAGTGATTCACCTTCAGACCTGATGAGTTCCTCAAAGATCCCTGATTCCCAAAACAGCTTCTATGATCATTTTATTCTCCTTTTCGGAGTGTCCATCACACTAAGAGCTGTGACAGGCCCACTTATTCATCCATTACAAGGCACGGCCCTTTCACTTGTGAAGACCCCTGGTCTGTCTTTCAGTCTGGGTTTGAGGCCATTTCTAGAAGCATGCCAGAAGCAGCAGGTGGACTTACATACCACAGAATTATGCACATGATAGTAACTATTCGGATATTCCGGGTTCGGAGCAGATCCAGAATGTGGTGAGACTGCTGCTTCTTGGAACTCAGGTCTTGAAACTGTAGAGACAAGTGATAAGGGGAACAGAAGGCTGCTGACTGTAGAGTGCATGGGAACACACCTATCTCAGCTGTCAGAGTTCTCTCAGTTAGGGAGTGTCTCAGGTTCTTCCCTGAGAACTCTGTTTTGGGGCTTCGAAAGGTTCTCCCAGGCCTGTCATAACAAATCGGAGTGGATGAGAATGCCGGGAACAGGGAGGTGACAAGCTCCTCACAGAGCACAGCGAAGGTGGAGGTTCAGGCCCACCCACATTCCAGGGAGACCTCTGAGCCTTCCTGCTCAGGGTGGCTCCCTTCCCTACGGGTTAGGGAGAGAAAGAGCCTGTGCAGTTTACTGATCTGACATGTACAAAGAATTAATGTTTTGAGTTCTCATACTAAGTAGTTATTTTGGTCTACTTCCAGGGGAAAAGAATTAAAACTGAAAAACAGGAAAATTGACCCGAGCTTCACCCAGAGTAACTTCCTCTGAAATTCAGCACGGCCCAGGCCATTAATAAACTGCATGTCTAAACACACTGATGTTGCTTTCTTAAGCAAACCCAGCTTTGGAGCTTGTTTCTTCCCAGTTAGCAAGCAGTTCAACAAAAGGTCAACTTCAGACTGGAAGGGTCCCCTGGAACAGCCTCATTTCCTCAAAGACGCCAATGAGGTTTACGGGTTTACCCAGATTGACCCCTCACTTAGGAACCACTGAAGCCATCTCACTTAAAAGCCCTCTCTGCCACACCCCTACCCTGACCTATGTGCTCAGGGCCTTTTCTAGTATGTGCTGAGTGACAGCTGCTGAGTAGCTACTGCTCAAGTGGGCAGGCAGCAGGACTTTCAGTAGCCATTGACCTATGGGCTGGTTCCTCTGGCCAAAGCCTCAAGTCTGTGTCTCCGGGCCTGAGTGCCTGTACCATGGCTGCTGTCACACTTCAGCACTGCTGCTCGTGGCTGTTCTAACAGCCAGTTTCCTATCTTCCCATCACACTACAGGCACACTGCCGAAACTTATCAGCCAGCATTTATAGCTTCTAATCTTGTTTCATAATCCTCAATCAGGAGAAATGGCCTGTTACAGAAAGGGCAGGGGAGGAGACAAGAGGAAAGACCAAGAATCAGCAACCAGACAGTCAAGAAATGACTCATGGTGTATAAGATTGGGGCTTGTGGGGAGGAATAGGGGGGTAGAAGGAAGAGGTGGACCTCAGGAAGGACACAGATCCAACATGGTATGTGACAGCCAGCCACTGGAGGGCAGAGTGAGACCCAATGCTGGTGTTTTATATGTTATGCGCTAGATTATCTTTTTAAAATGACAAATCTCCTTAAGCGTAAGAAATAAGGACTTCCAAAATGCGGATTTATAGAATGCTGATTTCTCATAAAGGGAACTGATATTAAAAGTAATGGTTAAATCATACAATTGCCTAGAAGTATGGATGCCTGAAATCCATGGGAAAAGTGGACGGGCAGGTGACAGCTATTTTGCAGATTCTGAGTTGTGCATGTGTACAAGACTGGGGATTAAACCCAGGGGTGCTCTACCCCTTGACTACATCTCTAGTTCTCTTAATTTCTGAGACAAGGTCTTGCTAACTTGAACCTACATTCCTCCTGCCTCAGTCTCCCCACTGCTAGGATTATAGCGATGTGCCCAAGCACCCAGGTGACTTTTAATGAGGCCTGCTGGGGGAGACCTGGAGCTCAGGCAGGGCAAGGGCTGGCCTCCTGCAGCAGGCAAGTCTGGAGGTCTATGGGCTGCTGCCCTTGGATCATGCCAGTGTGCCCTCCCTCAACCAGTTCCCAAGTGGCACTCACTTCACTTGGGTCAAAGATGGTGGAGGGCGCCACGATCCCATTCATTTTGGCAGCCTTGCGGATGATTACTTCTGCCTCTTCAAATCGTCCCTGAGAGATGAGCCAGCGGGGGGACTCGGGGATGAACCTAGAAGAGGACAGTTTCAGTGAGGCTGAGACTCTGTGAGGTAAAGTACAGCACCAGTGAAAAGTGGGCAGTGAGGTTTCTGATCCAGGGCTGGGTGCCAGTTCACAAGCCAGGAGGCGAGAGATGGTCTACACCGGTAACAAGCTGAGGTGTGACTGTGGGGCCCTTGTAGGGTGCGAACCCTGGCGGCCTGCCCTGGCTGTGGGGAGCCCTAGCCTGGCTGGTATCTCCAGCGATGGTGCCCTTTGCTGGGCTCCAGGATGCAGCTGCAACACAGGATCCTGAAGCCCGCCTCCCATGGAGGGCTCTGCCCACCCAGAACCTTCCATTCATTTGCCCTGTCCCTGGCACCCACAGAAACATCTGTGCTGGCCTGTTCTGTTTTTTCCTCACTTCTGCCTCCCCTGATTTATCCAACAGACCTGCAGGCACTCTGCATGCTCTCATGTGAACTCTTCCTCCTCTTCTATCGCCCGTGGCATGAGGCCTTGGCACACGCAGTTAGAAGCAGAGCTTCAGTGCTGCCCTGACATTGGCCGGTAGCTTCACTGTATTGCTCCGAGATCTGGAGGTCCCACTGGACCCTGCCCCCTTGCAGCCACTTCTTCCTCTCTCTACACTTAGAGCAACCTGGCCCAGGGCTGAGAACAGGTCTGAGGATGTCTTGTGATCCTGTGTTGTTTGGCTCTTCTGAGTGTGGAGAGATTCTGAAACAGCTCACAATCATTTATCCTTCCTGGCTCTGGGAGCCCAACGGGGCATCCAAGGGCTGCTGCTGCCCTCTAGCGAGGCCAGTTAGTGGAAGCTGTCCTGCTGGAAGGCAGCACCAGGCACACTTACCACCAGAGCGCCGCGCACAACACCCCAGGCAAGGTCAGTGCCAGCAGCAGCATCCGCCAGTCTCTGATGAAGTAAGCCAAGAGGGGCAGCAGCATGAAGCCAAATGCAAAAAATATGCATACTCCTAGCGTGGCGAATATAATACGAACTGACTTGCCGAGGATTTCTGTTCCTGTTCAAAACAAGGGAGGAGTCAAGCAAGCACTTTAATTTGGGTTATTTCCTTCTTAACCTTGCACAGCATCATCTTCAACATATGGACAAGAAGGCAGCTGGAAATATCTTCAGGCTCCCAAGTCCGGGGGATCAGTTGGCTCTGAACCCCGTCCAGTCTAAGCCTGTCTCAGGCTGCTTCACTGAGGCTCTCAACCTCTCAGTGACAGTTTGCTACTTTACTCAGCCAAATGGTAACAATGCCCTATTGGGCCCCCTGGCATTCCCCTAGAAGGGAGAACTCATTAGTGAGGCTATCATCCTTGGAGGAAAAAAGATAATCTATAAAATGTGAAAAGAAAAAATAACCCTTCCCACAATACACCCAAGGCACCCAGAGAGATCAGCCAGTCAGACTCCTCCAAATAGTGCATGACACCTTCCCAGTGAGAAGAAGCTGGTGCCTCTGAGCCAGAGCCCTGCTGTGTCCTTGGGGTTGAACATGAAGCCACGTGAAGCCTGTTCCTGTCCAGCTACTCTCTCTCATAGCCATCACTGGCCGCAGCGCCCTGCAGGTCCCTCCCCGGTGAGAGTTCCCTTCCCGGGCGAGCCATCCACCTGAGCCTGCGCTCATGGCACGTGCCTTCCTCTTTTGCCAGCTACCTCAACAGGAGGGGAACTTTTTAAATGGATCATCTCTGGTGAAGTAAAATGGCTTCAAGTACTAATAAGATCAAGATGCCCCAACTCAGAAGGCAGAAAAGCAGAAATCAGCTGTCAGGCTAGGGAGCCACTGGGACCCAAGACTGGTCACATGTCTGGCTCGATTTTCCTCCTAATAAATTGGGTTCATCAGGAAGCTGTGGCCAGAGGTGCTGGAAAGCACACCCAAACCCCCAGGGCATCAGAGGTTTCTCCAGAAAGGTAGGTGGCAGGATGATGACAAAACACAGGATCAAGTACTCAACTCCAACAGGATGGTCATACCCAGGACAAATGCTGCCACGTAGTTGGAGATCTGGCCCATGCCAACCAGGACAAAGAGTACCGTGAACATTTCAAAGTTTTTGGAGAAGACCTGCAGTAAACTGAAACCCGTCTGCATCGCCATGGTCACAAACAGCACATTCTTCCGACCAAACCTGGGGAGGAAAGGAGAGTCACGGAGAGCCAGCTGGGAAGGCAGCAGGGCCAGGCTCCACCAAGAGGGGCCCACTTGGGAGCGCTCGCACACAGTGTCACCAGGGCACCAGCACCCAGCTTCCCCACCCCCATGTTGTTACGCCCCTCCCCACTCCCCTGGACACACATGCAGCCGGGGTACCAAAAGACAGCGCCACCAGTATGATAATATCTGTCGTCGTCGATCAAACCTCATCAATTATACTCAAATCTATATACTCACAATGATATTCAAAAGAAGTATTAGCCAACTTTGGAGGATAACAGAGAAACAATTCAGTAAAGGGGAAGAACCATTCGCCTTGCCTTTCTGTTGTAAAGTATGTGAACAGTAACCAACAAGGAAGATGGGAAGAATCAGCTATAAAAAGTCTTCTAAATATTAAATAAAAAGTGATAAAATTACAGTATTGCCATTTTATAGCTCCCCTCCCAGGAGTACCAGTCTGAGGTGTAGACCAGAAATAGGTGGTATGCTTAGTATCTTCAAGGCCCTGAGTTAAATTTCTAGCACCAAATGAATAAATAAATGAGTGTCTACATCCAGCCACCTACCTGCAGGGTATATGCTGCCCTGTACCAGAAGTGCAGTCAGCAAAAACCACAATAGGAAGTGGTGCAGGTGGAAGAGCCCACAGAGCTTCAAGATAAAATGTCAGACAATGAAAGGGAGGGAAGGAAAACCCACAGATTGAAGAGGACCGGGGCCAGGGATGAAGCTCCATGGTGGAGCACTTGCTTAGCATTCACAAATCTAGGTTCAATTCTCTACACCACAAAAATAAAGTACATTAAAAGACACACCAAAATTTTTACTTTGCAAAATTAAATTTGTGTCTACAGATGCACATTAGGAGGATGAAAGTATAAAAAAAAAATAGTCCTGACCACCACAATCCTGAATGATGAAATCTGACAGATCCAAATACCTAAAATCTAACATCTCAAATGATCAAAATTCTGAAAAGAAAATTCTGGAAAAAAATTTTTTAAATTACTTAAAATACACTATGTTACATTTTTAAAGAAGGATTTGAGAAACAAAAACAAAGCAAAAAATATTGAAAAGCAAAAATGTTAGAACATTTCATATGCAATGATGTATAATAAAAACAACACTTTTCGGCTAGCATAAACCTTCAGATAACAACAGTCACAGGTACATATCAATTATAAGCAAACAAAGCAGTCAAAAAGTAAAATGCACTCAAATGGTGAGTAACTGTGATGCCGCTTTATCATTACAGTCACTTAGAATATTGTGATGGGCAGTCTAAGTTTTCTTGACGCTGGAAATCAAACTCAGGCAGGCCCTTGTGTGTGTTAGGCAAGTGGTCTACTGAGGAAGTGTACTAAGTGACATTTCCAGCCCATAATCTGTCTTCTGATGAGATAACTGAAAGCTCTGATATGTCAGTATGGAATACACAGTTTCCCAAGGAGCTGAGACCATGAGAAGTTGTATCTTTCACAAATGCAGATATACAAAAAGGACATCTTTTCATTTATTAGGTCTGCAACCATTTTACTTCTGGGCACAATGCTTATCCACGAAATAGCACCATAATTCACTTTCATGGAGTCAAACTTGCATTAAATACAGAAAATGCATTAGGACTTCCAGAAAAGCTTTACACAATCTAAGTCCCTAGGATTGGAAATGATAAAAACATGAAATAAACAGCACGAAGAGTTGTAAAAAATAATGCTGGTAATTTAAAATATCGGAAGGGCTGAGGGTGTGGACCAGAAATAGGTGGTATGCTTAGTATCTTCAAGGCCCTGAGTTAAATTTCTAGCACCAAATGAATAAATAAAATAGTTGGAAAAAAAAAGACATGGGGGCTGGGGATTTAGCTCAGTGGCATAAGTGCCTGCCTTGTAAGCCTGTGGTTGTGAGTTCGATCCCTGATACCGGTAAAAATACAAAAAAAAAAAGAAAAAGTAAAAGAAAAAAAAGACATGAATAAATGAAAAAAGAAAGCAACATATAAAAAAGTGTACCACAGACTGAGGATGTAGCTTCGTATGCACATGAAGCCTTGCACGCCCAAGGTCCTGGATTCTATCCCCAACGCTCCCCAGAAATTTGTATTACAGGGATAAATTATAGGTAACTGATTTGACAATCATTAACTACTGTTTGAAGTCTTGCATCATGATAAGTAGCTACTTTGTCTTTTAGGGAATGGCTTTTCTTGGAGAATAAACATATTCATATTAGATGTCTATAGACAGATCTCCCCCCAGGTGCATACGGACACACAGGCACCCCAGGTTTCACGGCACTGAACATGGTGCAGCTCTCCTGTGCACAGTCAAACCCACACCAGTCCCTCCCAGGCATGAGGTTTTCTACTTCTCTTATTTAGTTTTTTTCCAACAGGAATTTTAACTTCTAGGATTTCAACATTCAGGATTTTAGATTTTAGGGATTATGGCTCTAGAGATCATATCTTTTAGGATTATAATCCAGCTGGTGGAGAGTCAGACTAGTGGCTGTGTACGGGGAAGGGTGGGGGTTGTATCTGGGATGGCTTCACAGATGCAGCTTCTTTTTTTTTTTTTTTCTTTTTCATTTTTACTGGTACCAGGGATTGAACTCACGACCGCCTGCTTGCAAGGCAGGTGCTTATGCCGCTGAGCTAAATCCCCAGCCCCCAGAAGCAGCTTCTTGACAGCAAAATTCACTGTGTGCCTTGGTGGTGGTTACTAGGTTATTTTCTTGGATTAATTCATACATCACACATTTGTCCTGTGTGGTTTTCTGCTTCTGTACTCATTTTAAAGTAATTTTTTCCATTTTGTTGGTTGCTCTTCTCATTTAAAAAGAATACCGCAAACAGGAGGAACAAGTTGATCTAGTGGTAAGCGGTAGTTTCTGCTTCAATCTGGCCAGAGCTGGCTGAAACCTTCCTTCTGTAACACTTACTGAGCATGTATTATCGTAGGCACTAGGGTTATCAGTAAATTAAAAAAAAAAAAAAAAGATGCTCAGAGATGACATGGGACACTGACGAGACCCACAGGAAAAGCCAGGATTGACAAGGGGGATTGAGAATATAGGAACTCAGCTTTCAAAGATATTCACAGTCTAGAGGAGGAGACCAACATTAATCCTATGAGAAAACTTATTTACCAACTTGTCACGTGTAAAGACGCCCAAGTCATAGGAGCCAGGGCAATGTACAGCAGTTGCCTGCATCAGCCTGCATGGTTGAGGAGGAGTCCTGGGTGCAGCGCAGGGACTTTAGACACTGAGAAGGGCACACACCACCGTAACTGGAAGTGGTGTGAAGAATTTGGAGCAGGTGTAGCTGGCCCTGCTTGTGCAATAGAAGGCTGTGGAGGAGGCAGGAGCCAAACTGCACAAGGCCTCTCAGCTATGTGAGAGAGTTTGTTTTTCCTTAATGCAATAGTTTGTGTTGCTATTTGTGTTTTGTGTCTCAGGGAGACAGTGCTACTGATCTCTAGTGAGTAGAAGCCAGAGATGTTGCTAAATACTCTAAAATGGCCGGGTTAACCCCCAACAACAAGGGAACATCAGGGCTGAGGCTGAGAAAGTCAGGTCTAGAAGGAAATTCCCATTCTACCTGTACTGTTCTGCACATGCCAACTAAGGGGTGATCTGCAAGGCAGACTGGTGTAACCCCTGCACCCTGTCCCTACCCAAGTGCTCCCCTGGACAGTAAGGAAGAAAAGGCCCATCAGCCCTTGACAGCATTAGCCTCTGGCAGTCAGGTGCTGGGACCAGAACCTCCTTTCTAAAGTCCATCAACCACATGGCAAACACATACCTATCTACGAAAACACGAAACACTGGTTTACTGTGCTTCCCATAATTAGTAAAGATAACTCAATAATGTCAGACAAAAGGCTTTGGCAACCCAGGGTTATTTTAATTACTCTTGAACTTACACTTAATAATATGGCAGAAAGAAGGTTAAATAAACTTTTGTCCTATATAAAAAGTTCCTGCTGAATTCCTGGACAACAGTGGAAGGCATGAATCTGTAGCTCTTAAGTGACTTACTGGGCTTAGGTTTCAAAATTGCTCACTCAGAGATGATAAGATGAGAAGCTTCTGTCCCACAGAGCCCTGCACTGCTGTCGGGGTGCAGGGGAGCTTGAGGAGAGTCTGTGGGAGCTGCAGTCAGGACAGTCATACTATTTTGCTATTTCATCATTGGACTTAAATGACCCTACTTAAAGTTCTGCTGCCAAAATTTTTTTGAAAGACTTGAAACACACCATGTATGCCAGCCCTTCGGTAGGCTGAGGCTTGTTCCCACTGTTTCTGTGGAAGTAATCCTTCTGGAACGTAACATTTTTCTTGGGTGATCACAGTGTTACGTGATAAACAGGTTCGGATGCTGGCCCATTAAAATCCACATAACTCATGTCACATTTGACCTGGGGAAGTATATCGGGTTTCCACTCTGAACTTGGAGTACCTCCTTGTTTTTCACAGCAATGCAAGTCCTCTGGACCTTGGCTGCCCCTCCACCGAGGAAAGGATGTCCCCCTCTCCATGTGGAGGTCCCCTAAGCTCGGTCCTGTCCCGCTTCTTCTCCTTCTCTCTCTCCCCTGGCCATCTCATCCATATCTGGGGCTTGGGTGTGGGTTCTACCTGGCTGACAGTTCCCAACTCTGCTTCTGCAGCACGCACCTCTTGTGGAGTACACACATGTGGCCACACACCTGGGTTCAGCATAGGGTTCCCATCCCCTCAAATTCAGTACGTTCCACCTTAATTCAGTATCTTCTCTGCAAATAAGATGCCCTGCTAGCATTCTCTGTCTTAGGGCATTATCTTTCCAAGAGTTAAAGAGACCTGAAACCTTTAGTGGCACCGTGGAGTAAATCCAGGGAGCGCTGTGTTACATCTCCAGCCAGCCAGCCAGACAGCCTGCCTGACTGTCTGTTATCCACCTATCCATCTATTAACTGACACAATCTCATTAAGTTCCCTAGGCTACTTATTTATTTATTTTTGAGACCTGGTCTCACTAAATTGCCCAGTCTGACCTCAAACTGGAAATCCTCTTCCTTCAGCCTTCCAAGTAGATGCGGTTACAGGCATGTGACATCACTCCTGCCTCATTTCCTGCTCCTACCCCATCAACAAATCCTGCTGATTTTACCCCTACCGTTTCTCTCCATTTCTACCAACCTCACTGCAGGCCAACTCACCATCATCCCTTGCATGAACTGCTATGAAACTGATCTCTCCACAAAATCTCTCTGAGCCTTTCTCCACAAGGCTATCACATCATCACCTCTTAAAAGATACAAATCTGGCTGGGAATGGTGCATGCCAGTAGTATCAGTGCTCCGGGAGGCTGAAGAAGAGGATTACTAAATTAGAGCCCAGCCTGGGTAACTCAGCCACTTAGTGAGACCCTGACTAAACAAAACCAAAACCAAAACCAAAACCAAAACCAAAACCAAAACCAAAACCAAAACCAAAACCAAAGCCAAAGCCAAAGCCAAAGCCAAAGCCAAAGCCAAAGCCAAAGCCAAAACCAAAACCAAAACCAAATCCAAAACCAAAACCAAAACCAAAACCAAAACCAAAACCAAAACCAATAAACAAAGAAAAGGAAAACAGAAAACTGCAGGTAGAGCTCAGTGTGAAGAGTGTGGGTTCAACACCTAGTACTGGTAGCGGGGAGCAAATCTGCTGTCATGTTCCTATTTTATAAATTCTCAATAGCTCCTTGAGGATGAGGCCCAAACTTGTAAGCCCTTTTCTGTTCTGTCTGCAACTCCGTCTGCCTCGTGGCCCTCATCTCCATTACATGGGACTTTTTTCCGTTCCAGGGCTTCCCTTCCAGGCTTTAGTGTGGGCCGTTCTGCCTGCCCAGAATGCTTTCCTCACCACCCCACAGCTAGCTAATCCCTACTCATTTTCCAACTCCCAGCTCATGCTTCACATCTCAGGGAAGCCTTCCCGACCTCTGGTTACACGCTCCCAGAGCACCTTGTATTTCTGTTTTCCCACAGCAAATGATAATCACCTCTCAATGAGATGTTTAATACATTCTTTCCTTCCTTCCTTCCTTTATAGAAGGCAAGTTCTTGGGGAGCAGAAACTTTGAGTATTAGTCTACACAAAGTGGAGGAACAAAACTGTCTGGGGTCCAAACTCTGTGATGCCACTTGCCAGCCCTGTAAATTTGGGCATGTTACTTAACCGCCTCACTTACAAGATAGGAAAAATAGATTTGGGGGAGGCCAGTGCTTAAATATCCCTCAAAGCTCGTGGGTTGAAGGCTTGGTCTTTGGTGGAGCAGTATGCAGAGGTGAGGCTATGGAAGGTGACTGGAATACAAAGGCTCTGTTCCCATCAATGGATCAGTCCATTTAGGGATTCACAGCTTCATGGGCTTGGGGAAGAGGCTCTGCTGCAAAGTGAGCTCTCTCTGTGCCTCCTGGCCACTGGGAGGTAAGCACCCCTAGTCGTACCACGCGCTGTCTGCCGCCCCACAGGCCCCGAAACAATGGAGCCAAGTGACTACAATCTGAAACATCTGAAAGTGTGACCCAAAAGAAATCTTTCCTCCTCTAAATTGACTTTCGCCAGGTATTTTGTCACCACAGTGGGAAGTTAACATATTCATCATAGCGTTGAGTTTTTTTTTTGTTTTTGTCTTTTTCGTTTTTATCAGTACCAGGGATTGAACTCACGACTGCCTGCTTGCAAGGCAGGCTCTTATGCCGCTGAGCTAAACCTCCAGCCCCATAGTGTTGAGTTAGTACTTCTAACAATGAGTAACACATACTGAGTACTGCATGCCTGTTAAATCAATATAAGTAAATAATTGATTCTTGCTACTAGGTTAAAGATCTAGAGAAGCAAAGATCTTTGCCCAACAGGGGGAAGTGTCTCATGGCCTACTGAGCTATAACACTTACTGGGAATTATAGGAGTTTTTCTGCCAGTACAGGACACTTTGGAGAAATGCACATACTTTCATGAGAAAAATTTCAATGATGACATGGAGGATATGGATACAGGATGAAGTATCTCTGTTCTTTGGGGGATGATGTTCTTTTTCTGACTTTTGTGAGTCCCCAACCAGTACGGAGGATGCTGGGACTCCTCTCTTTCAGGTGACTGACTGTGTGGGTGTCCTTTCTGTGCCACTGTGGCCACGCTCCCTATCTCGGACTTCCATGACAGTCCCTGAAACACCAGGATAGGAATGCACAATATAATGGAACGCTTTGGGAACTTCACGAAAACTTGTCCAAAAAAAGGGCTTGCATATAATCTCTACTGTTTTCATGTAATTTCAAGTGTTTTTGGATTTCCTAAAGCACTGATGGACCTCAATTAAAAGCTTTGGAGTTGCTGGGTGTAGCAAAGCATGCCTGTCATCCGAGCACTTGGGAAGACAGAGGCAGGAAGATGGCTGCAAGTTTGAGGCCAGCATGCATGACATCCTGGCTTCAATTCCCAGTACTCAAACACACCCCCCAAACAAAACAAAACAAGAGAAGCCACCTACGATTTAGCTAAGGGGCCTCAGCCTGGTGGAGATAAGAGTTCTACTCCTTATAACAGCACTGAGGGGTAGTGGGATCTCTTCTCATCTTGCACAGAAAATGCTGGTCATAGCTAGGCTTGGTGGCATATGCCTTAATCCTAGCACTTGGGAGGCGGAGGCAGGAGAATTGTTGCAAGTTCGAGACCAGCCTGAGCTACAAAGTAAGCTCAAGGTCAGCCTGAAGTGCATAGTGAGATCCTATCTCAGAAAGACCAAAGGGGGAAAAAAAAGCTGGTCTTGGGAACACAGAGATGCTCACTGTGGTGTTGCCTAAAGATCTACAAAGCAGAGAATGGCCATGTGTGCATGGCATCGACCTCTCCCGTGTTCAAGGACATGAGAGTGCTATGTTCACTCAGGGAGGGCAAGCCCTGTAAGTGCAGAAGTAACAGTGGCGCATCACCTGATTCCTGCATCATAGCTATAGTTGGCTTGGACAGCTCAGCTTTCTTTACTCAGCAAGAATTAAGGAGCAAGGTGAGAGATTCCTGGGCATTTCACTCTTGGCATGAAGTCCATCCTGGGCAGCTTCCTCTGCTATTAAAATGCAGGGCCCTGGTCTCAGAGAACACTACTGTGAAGTCAAGCCATGTTTCCTGCTCAGGGCCAGGGCCTGTAGCTGCAGGAGTCAGACACCTTACCTGTCTGAGAGCTGCCCCGAAACGAAGGAGCCCACCAGCACACCCACAAAAAACAGGGACATGCTTAGCGGGGTCTTCCAGTCGTCCTTACACACCAGGTTCCACTGTAAGAGAAGCAAAAGGATGGATGTATCACTCACTTCTTTTTAGAAAAGGTTTTAAATTTAAAAACTGAAATCAGAATATCCTGCATCCCTGCTAGGTACACGAATTCCATTCACAGGTAGTGGTGCACTTGGGCAGGCTGCCTGCCTACCCCATTCCTGTTTTTCAGTGACTGGGGCCCCTTGTCTTGCTTCAGTTTTTCGAAGGTCACAGAAGCAAGATGTGTCCTGTCCACATCTAAGAATGTGGATGGAACCTATAACGGTGAACCAGAAAGGATGCCCTTGTGCAGTGGAGTTTAGGCACCTGAAACTCAGGGGAGCCAAATCATCCAGGAAGGAAGGAACTGAGCCAGAGGTCTGGAGTTAACCATATGGACCTGCTTCTTCAGCTCTGCTCAGGGCCCAGCCGGTCCTTCTTGTGACACTCAGGGCTGGAATCCCTGATAGTGCACACCAACAGTACTAGGCCCAGGTAAGGCTGAGAGCTCTAAGCTAGAAGTCAGGAAAATGGGTTTTATTTAGTTTGGAGAAGCTCAACTTTTTAATAGGACATAAAGTATCATGGGTTCTTCTGGTTGGAAAGGAAAAATGCCAGTGAAGGGGCTTGTCTTTGTTTTCTTGTGTCTCTCTCAGACAGGCCTATTTATATCATTGAGTCCATTTTCAAGACCTCATGACACCAACTACAGTCCCTTTCCCAGAGACCACACACCACGTGTGCCAAGGCGACTGTCTCAACAGGGTCCTTACCTAAGGGAGTGACCTTTGAAAAAGAACAGCTAGCCTCCAGGTCCTGCCCTAGGCAAGGAAGGTTTAGTAAGGGATGAGGCCCTGTGCAGCAGAGCTACCACTGAAGGCAGCTTTGTCGCAGTGATGTCGCTAAAGGCAGGCTGGCAGGATGGACACACCAGTAAAACATGCGTTATTTCCAGAAGGGAAGGAAGCAGATTGGGAGAAGACTTTAACAATGGAGGTAGGGTCTCTAGGGAAGCAAACGCTTAGATGGGGGACACACTGCATATCAACAGTCCACTGGTTCACTTTTATGCCATCTCAGCCTGGGTACAGTGATGCCACCCTGAACTGCAAATCACCCTGTCCCACTGACAGCTGCATTCATGATTACATTCCCCTGGAGGTCAGGCATAGTCAGCTCGGAACTTGGAGAACGATGGATTCAACAAAGCATGTCCTATAGCTTCCCGATGAACAATTAGAACATGATCTTCAAAGTATATAATTAAAAATTTAAAAATGTTAATCATAGCCTATTTCACACACTCAAGAGCAGAAGATAACATAAATTATTTTGGGCCCTCCATGCTACTTCACACCTGTGAACATTTTGCCATTATAGCTGGAGATTAAGAAGCAATACGTGGTTATAGGTGACAGCTCACCTGGTCCATCTCATCTGAATCCATTCTCTTCTCTTGATAGAAGAACCCACTCTCTTAAAATAGCTTCATATCTTTTCTACACTGTATTTTTCTAGGTCACACATATTTTTCAACAGAATAGCATTAGAATAGCATTTTGAGGGTCAAACTACATGCTGCTTTAAAGTTTTGTGGTGGTGTCTGCTGTGCTGCGATTGGACAAGCTTAGATGGCTGCTAAGGGTGACTGCAAAAGGACCAGCAGCCAGTCGTGAGCCAGAGTGAGCTACATATATCTCCGTGTGAGCAATATGTAAGTTAACAGTTCCACAAACTGATTTTTAGGAGGCTCTAGAGCATATCCAGACAGACAGGGCAGAGCAGACAGAACGCCAGAGATACTGTTTCAAGCTGCAGCCCTCCCTCCTGTCTTGGATCACAGGACCTGCCATGAGGAAACTGGCCTTTAAATTCTGTTCTAGTGTTAACTAGTTGTCTAATCCCAGATAAGTTCCTACCACCACACCCTGCCTTAATTTTTCTGTCTGTAAATCAGAGAATGGCAAAGGGAACAGTTGCCCTGTTCAATATACCAGGACCTAATGTGTGGCTCCAGAGGACTCATGGCGAAACAGTTAAGACACTCAGACTCCCAGCCAAAAAAAAAGAGCCAAAGGAGGAGGAAAGCCAAATCAGGAAACCTGTGATTCCCAGGAAAATGCTTTCCAGGACAGAGATGGTGGAGAGCAGTGAATGATATTTTTGGACTTCTCATGCAGGGCCACCATCCTGCATATATGCAAACCCTGCCTGCTTGGTTTGCCTTCCATACAGCCTGCTGGCTCCCCAGTAACCAAGAGAACTGGGAGGTGTGCAGCCCCCCAGAACAAAGCACCTCTTTTACCACAGACAAGGAAAAACAAGTTTGCTTTCCTGTTCCACTGGGCCACGCACACAGCACACAGCTGCTGGGTACCTCTCAGAGGCATCAGAAGGCAGCCCTCTGGCTGAACATGAAGAACCCCTGCAGCCCACACAATTCACTCAGGCATGCTGCAGACTCTATTTTGGAATTCACATGCATCTGATAGGCTAAATGGAATATGATCCCAACCCAGGGAAGAATTGGGGGCACCCAACTCTCAAATCTGGAGTCAGCCCAGACTGGCAGGAGCCAAGGCCATGGAGCACTGTGGCTGGTACTGCAGCTCAGGCTGCTGCAGCCTTCCTATCCCAGCAGCTTCAGTGGCCCCGGCACTCAGATGCTCCCTCTGAGTGTAGCCCCCACCCACTCAGGGCTGCTACAGCCAGCACTGGGAACAGCAGGGAGACAAAGCCAAGACAGCAATAATGGGTGCCAGCCCCTGGCTGTCAGGCTGAGCTGCAAAGGCCGCCTTATGGCTGCTGCCACTCTATCACCTCTGCAGCAGCAAAGATGAAACGGTGACTCAAAAGCCAGCAGGTGTTTTTCAGCAAGTCTTTCACGAGAGTTGGAGAAGCATATGGCTGAGTCAGACAAGAGAGTCACATGAGTTTCTGCACTGAGTCCTGGGGTCTGTAGTGACCCCAGCTAGGTCTCCCCAAAGCAAACTTCCAGGAAATGGTACACTGACAAGGCTGAAACTAGGAAAGGGCACTATTCAGAGGACAAAACAACTGTAACGCTCATCCTGAGACAGCCTCGGAGCATGCTGGATTCCTCATCCCCGCTCTCTGCACGAGGCCCAGCCTGCCCTAAATCTGGGCAAGTATATACCTCCTTGGAGGAACCGTGCCCACTATCTACTACATCCTTGACAACACAGGGCCTGGATCTGGGCCCTCTAGAAGGAAACATGTATGGACATTTCCTTCCTACTGCCCACTGGAAGTCTGGGAGTATAGGATCAGGAAAGGCGATCGATTTCAAAAACTAATGTAAGGGCAGGCACAGAATGGGTTTCACCTAGCCCATCTATCCACTTCACGGTATTTCTTTTTTTTTTTATCAGTACATCTTAGATATGCACAATGATCACATTCATCATAGAGAATTAGTACCTATATGTGATATAACTTGATTCTTTTTTCCCATTCTCCTACCCTCCCTTCAACCCTTTCTCTCCTCCCCATTTCCAAAAGCTTTGGTTCCATTTTTTTCTTTTTCTCACTTCTTTTAAAACTCTTCCTTTCTTTGCTTTCCCCCTTTCCTCTCCCCATCTGAACATTTTCTTCCTATTTCACAATATCTAATATACATTTTGGTACTTACTTACACTTTCAATTTCTCACACCAGAGAAACAAGGCGGTTTACACATATGTCTATTTCACTTCAGAGTATGGCCTCAAGGTGCATCCATTTACCTAGGATGCGTCCACTTACCTAAGCTTAACCTTTTCTATGGGACTTAACTGTATTTCAGTGGGTTCCAGGTCTTGGCTTGAATCCTCCTTAAGAAGAAAGGGATGAGAAGCCTATAGAGTGCAGGCTAAGTACCCTTCGTTTTTACGAAGGCATCTAGTGTTCTTGTACTGAGCTCATGGCTCCCCACTTGTTATGGTTTGAGTTTGGACATCCCTCCAAAACCTCATGCAGTCATGGAGGCAGGTTTCTAGAGTTCGTAATGCTGAGATTATGAGTGTGAGTGCTACACCCAAGTGAATATGGCCTACACACGATATAAAGGGCAGAAAGAGTCTTCTCTCTGAGCTCCTCCCTTTTGCTCTTATTGCTTGTACTGTTTTTTGCTGCCATGGACTGCTGTCCTCAGCCACGTGCCACTCTGCCTTGCATCCAGTTAATGATGGACTGAAACTTCCACAAACTGTGAGCTAAATAAACTTTTTCTTCCTTAACTTTAGGTGTTGGCTATTTTGTCCCAGCAACAAGACAAAAGTAACCAAGACACTACTTAACCAGCCACAGACCTGCTTACTGATGGTCCTTCTTGAAACATAAGATAGGTTATACTGGCCGAGGACAGCATATATCAATGTTAAAAATAAATGCATGGCATTAAGATTTAGATCTCAAGTCTAGCATCATTGCCTGGGTAATCTGTGAAGCAGGTCCAACCTGAAAACACCTGGGAGGAGCTCTGGCAAGGGGTGGCCTTGCTGTCTTCTTGCTCAGAATCACACCCTTCTAAGGGTGATATCTTCAGGTATGTGTATCAAAGCTTTCCAAACTGCACACTTTAAGCCTGTCCAGTTTCTTTATAGCATTTATCTGCCTCAATAAAGTTGATAAACTTTTTAAAAAGGAGAATTGTTTTTTGGATCTTGTGTATAACTGCAGCAGCTTTTCAGTTATGGGATGTAAAAAGAGGGCATAGTTCCCTGGGACTAAATGTTCTTATCCATGAACTGACTGTTAGGGAAAAGAGTTAGGACATGTGCCCACAAGGTGATAGTTTTTCCCTGAGGTGCACCTAGCCTGTCCGCATCAATGGTCAAGTGCACTGGTAGGCACCATGTGTTACTGAAGGCCATGTATTCCCACATACATTTCATCCCGCCTCCCAGTCCCTTTAATGGTCAACCTTCACTGGGCATGGTGCCACAAGTCTATACAGTTCTAGCTGCTAAGGAGCCTGAGGGAGGACGATAGCTTGAGTCCAAGAGTTCAAGGCAAGCCTGGGTAACATAACAAGATCTAATCTCAAAATAAAATAAATTTAATGGTGGATCTTTGCTCTAAGACTATTGGGCATAGAGAAGAGATATTTGCTATCATATCCTCTACTAGTGTATGGAATAGTAGCTAAGGAGTTGTCTGGTACATTGCTGAGTGAGTAAACGGAATAACAAAAAGGCCACAACCTTTGTCATAGTATAAAGACAGTTTAACATTAGTTAGCTGATGACTAGGCAGCTGGCTAGACAAAGGGCCTGGGATAGAGTTGGGGAATCAGTCACACCACTAAGAATTAAAATAAGCATAGACAATAAAGGAGGACTTGGGAAGAGTAGGTCTTCAGTAACATGGGAATACAGCCCCTCCTTACTAAAGTAGTTATTGTTCTTCTCTATTAAATTCTATTTAAAAATGCAGAATAATCAGCTTTCCTTTAAAATCTCAGTTTCCTTTAAATTCTGCACATGGAGTAAGTAGCTTAGAGAGCCTGAATTCCAACTGGTCATTTTAAATCCACAGAGCTGCCTGTGATAAGTGGTCACTAAATAGCCCAGCAATTATTGTACTCCCCTTATCCATGAAAAGTTCTGGACCAAGAGGCCATGGGCACCCCAGTTTCTGGGAGCCTTCCTGGACACCCACCAAGAGCACTTTTTCTTCTAATATTCCCAATAAACACTCTCCCTTTAACTTCCTTTTTGTCTAGGATTTCATTCCTGGACTTCATGAGACAATAGACTTGGTTTATATGATGACAGCTGTTTCACAACGATATCTTTTCAGCTTAGTCCTTGCCTTTAGATGCCAGAGCCCAGATGAATCCTGCATTTCAATCTATAAAAGGAATTCTTCTCTCTCGGATCCCTGCCTTGTGCCAACTATCAGAACTTGGACTCAACATAATGGTCCTAAGCCAGGTGGTGCAGAGAGGTGCTTGACCTGACCTCATCACCAGATGTGTCACACATAAGGGGCCACCGAGCCCAGCAAGTGGTCTACCTAGTTTGTTATGCTGCTGCAAAGAGACAGATGAGGGTTTGTGATTCCCCTGGAAGAAGTCAGCAAAGCTCCAACAGCAAGGTGCGGGTTCTGGGTTGCTCTGACACAGTTAGCCCTGGCCCTGCCTCCTAGGAGGCTGAGTCTTCCTGCGGGCAAAGAGGTGGATGACAGTGTGGCTCTTCTAGCCGCAGGCAGGATATTGAGACTCAGACAAGAATGGCACCAAAAACAAAACAAAACAAAACAAAACAAAAAAAAAACCCACACAAAAAAAACCCCAAAACACAACAAAACCTAGTCCACTACAAGAGGGAATAAACAGGAGTCTCACCAAGGACTGGGTGGGGGCTTCTGGAAAGCAGAGACAGCAAGAAACAAGACTGCCTAAGCCCTGACTTAGAGGTCAGACGCCTCAGAAGTTACTAACGGTTACTTCCTGCCTGCATGCTGGGCTCATCTATGGCAAAACCAAAGAACAAGTACGCCAGGAACCTGCGAAGTCACCTAGGCTTCCAGAGGAAGGGAGAAGTCCTGGTCTCTAAAGCATGGCGGGTTGGGGTGGACGATTCCCCAGTGCCCAGGAGTGACACAGTGGCCATGGGAGAGGCCAACCTAGAGGCATATGGATCACCAAGCTAGTCCTGAGACACAGGACACAAACTTCTTTCACTTCTTTCTGCCAACCCTGATTCCTTGTCCCATAGACGCATAGCACCAAGTTCTTATCAGACGGATAGAGAATCACATTTCTTTTAAAAGATGCCTGGAAATTCTTTTTAGATACCTCCGAGTTTCTCTTTTATGAATTTTTTTTTTATTGGTACTGGGGATAGAACTCACGACCACCTGCTTGCAAGGCAGGTACTTATGCCGCTGAGCTAAATCTTAGCCCCTCTTTTATGAATTTTAAACTATTCATTTTGCTTTAGTTGTTCAACTTAAGAGATTTCCTAGGTTATTCATTAACCCATTCAGTTGAAATTTTCCTGAGTGGAAAATTTCCCTGCATTGTGTCAGAAATTAAGGGAGATGCAAAGGTCCCAAAGCTTAGTGCTACAGGTATGTACTTTAATATACACACACACGCAAAATCAAACAGGAGACCAGAAAATTTAGTCTTCTGTCAAAAAATATAAACAGAAGGGGCTGGGGATTTAGCTCAGCAGCATAAGCACCTGCCTTGCAAGTGTGGTGGTGAGTTCGATTCCCGGTACCGATAAAAAACAAACAGAGCAAAAAAAAAAGGGAAAAAAAATATCAACAGAGCTAGGGATAACAGCTCAGTGGCACAGTGCCTGCCTGCCTGGCAAGTGCCTATCTGGCAAGCATAAGGTCTTGAGTTTAATTCCTGGTACAAAAAAAATAGGAATTCAGTACCAGAGTACTTACAAACACCTCTATGTTTGATTTGGGGCGGAGGGCAGGCTTGGGGACACCTATCAGCACAGAATGAACTGCACTAATCAACAAGCCATGTCTAAGTGGATAAAACTGGCTTTAGAAAAAGTAATCAGAGTGTCGATGCAGCAGTTTCCAGCGGTGACTGAGTTCACCTGAGAGGAACATGCAGACTTGAACTTTAAGCCAGCACTGCAACATCCCAAAACAAAGGGTAAGTACTAATCTTGCCTCTCTGACACCTGTAAGTAGGTGACAGGGCACATAGTTCTTACAACACTGCTATGACAACTGAATAAAGTCTGAACACAACCTAGAGGAGACAGACATTGGCAGTACAGCCGGGTCAGGAGGGTTGAGATACTTCTGTTAAACTGGCCCCCGGGAGCTCATCGATGCCACTGACACTCTCTACAGAAGGCAGGATAGACAGAGAGAACTAAGTGCAAGTGACTACAGTGAGCTGGGGAATCCTAAACGTCAGGACAAACAAACCCCACAAGATGCTACGAGCTGCTTGTGACTTCACACCTTCCCCTTCTTTGAGGAGCCACAAGCAGACTTTGTAGGAACTTCTGTGTCACAAAGCCTGCTGTCTTCTCTGTGGTCTCTGCTTGAAATCCCAGGGACAATGTCTTGTTTTCACAGTTCTCACTGGCTTCCAAGAAGGCAGCAGACTCACTTTTGAGGCTAGTAACCAGGATTTGGGACAAATCAAAGTTTCCATTCTCTATGGAGGTAAAGCAGAACGCTGCCTCCCACTGTTGCACTTCTGTCAGGGAACAATGCTTCTGTCACTAGATGGGAGACCGCTGGTCACACTCCAGCTACTTGTATTCTTCAATAAATAAGCAGGCACAGGTGCTAGGGACATCGAACATTCAAACATACGGAGAAAACACATGGGTGTACATGGCGAGTCTCCTGGGGCAACTCAGACTCTACCTCCTGGAGCATTTGACACCACACTAGAGCCCCGGGCTTCTTAGCATTCCTTTTATTCTGCCCTTCTGATGATACCTTCTTGCTGTTGCACCTGGGCCTCTAGCTCAACACCATGGACTCTGTAAGAAGTCTCCACCTCCAGGAAGCCACCCCTACCCCGAACCTCTAATCCTGACACTCGGTGAACTACCCTATGCCTGATGAGGGTTCTTATCACTGTCCTCTGCTTACTTTGCTCTTCTAAGCCTCCAGGGAATTAGTGTCAGTGCCTAAGTCAGTCCCAAAACCCATCCACATGCACTATTACCATCAGGTCATACACTCTGCTTAAATGACTGCAGAATCACTGGGGGCCAAAGCCACCTGAGAGGAAAATTCAAGAGGCTGAAGAATGAGAAAGGCTGCCCTACTCTCTACAAACTAAGGTCTTAAGTTTCAAGTAAACCCTGCCAGTGACACTGCCTCAAATATCCTGGGAGATACTCTAGGATCTTCAGAAGCTCGGATTCATAAAAATGACAACTGACCATGGGAAAAAGGAAGACAGTTCCTCACCAGGCATGACCGGATTGTTGGGGGGAGGGAGGGAGATGGGAGAAGGAGTAACTAGAGAAAAGAGGGAAGATAGTCTTATGCTTCCTTTCACTTTAAAAGTTCTGAAAAGAGGAGTATTTCCCTTTTTTCAACAGATGCCTTAAAGCTCAAGGAAAAATGGTGACAGTCCCTTGGTCCAAGCCCTGGCCTTTTCTCCTCATCTTTCCCATCACCGTGAAGAGTCTCCCTGGCTGCCAGGGCCTTTCTAGCTCCACCACCGATGTGGCCTTCGGGATGGGTGGCCAGCCTGACACCTGTGCTGTGAGCAACGCTCACTGGCCGGGAGTCACCTTGTGGTGCCTCAGAGCTCCTTGGCCGAAGGATTCTCATCCCCAGAGCGCTGCGCGCCCAGGTTGGGGGTTGGGGGTTGAGGGTTGGAGTGACAGCGTCCGGGGCGCCCCGGGAGGCTGCAAGGACCACGGTGACGGCCTGCCACCCACCTCAGTCACGATGGTGGACAAGAAGACGTCCTGGCTGAACTCCCAGCCGTCCAGACAGCTCTCCTGCTCCAGCTGCCCCAGGTCCACGTCGCGCCCTGGCTCCAGTCCGAGCGCGGAGAAGTTGGCGACGGCCGCGAGCCGGTAGCGGTGGCAGCTGTCGGGCACCTCGCGGCCGTCGCGCTGCAGCAGCGGGATGCTGTGGTTGCGCCAGGCGCTGCTCAGGTTCGCGGCGCCCGGGATCCGGCAGTGGTGCTCCGGGATCCCCGCCAGGAACACGAACGAGATTCCGTTGAAGCCGTTGGGGATGATGCTGGCACTGAGCAGGAAGAAGATGAGGCGCTGGAAGGGTCCCCACTCGCCCAGGAAGGCGGTCACCTCCTCGTAGTCCCGCATACTGCCCTCCGTGGGACTTGCGCGCGAACCCGGCCGGGACCGCACCTGCAGACCGCTGTCCGCTCCGGGAGCCTCGCGAGCTTCCACAGGTCCGCCGCGGGCCCGGCCCCGCCGGCAGCCTTACATAGTGCACGAGGCCAGGGCGGGTTCTGGGCCTGGGCCGCAAAGCCCGCCCCGCCGACCCACGGTGCGGCGCCCAAAGCTGGGGCCGACCGCGCGACGCAGGGGCGGAGCCGCGCGACGCAGAGGGCGGTGCGGCCTGCCTGCGTGCGGGCGCGGGGCGGAGCGAGATCTGGGGGCGGGGCCTCAACGGGCCACGCCCCAAGAGCGTCGCCTGGGTGACCCAGGTCCGGCGTCTGCTCCTGCTGGTTGAGTGACCTTGGAGTGTGGGACTGAAGTCGCTTTACTCAGAAGGGCCGGCGGCCCTGCTGAGTGTCTGGTGGAAGAGCGACCGTGAGACGCGACTTTTAAAAGTGTTCATTATTCCTATTATTATTGCAGGCCCAGAGGGGGACCCTGACTGGCCTGGGGTCATAGTGACAGCTGTCCCTGTCACGCGGGTCCTTATGGAAGGTCGAGGGAGTCTTGAAACTGGGCAACAGTGAGGCTGAGAGCATTGAGTTAATTCTAACTCAAATACCTTTTCTATATTTTGATCTTTAAAAAAATTCTGTTGTTCTTTAACTTGTTCCAGCAAATGTAAAAATTTAACTGCGCGATTATTAAGAATTTTAGCTTAGGGTCAAATGTTCCCCTCAGGTTAGTTATTTTTGCAAGGTTAACTCATTAATTCGGGAACTGACTGATTACAAAAGAAAAGTAACTACAGTATGCGATTCTAAAGCAGCACTGTCTAGTAGAATAAGGAGCTACGTTTGTTATTTCATTGATTAGAGACAGTGTCTCACTATTGTTCAAGGCTGGTCTCGAACTCCTGGGTTCATCTTCCTGCCTCAGTCTCTCCAGTAACCAGGACTATCCATACCTCCACAGCCGGATATGTGTGTAATTTTGAATCCTCTAGCAGCCATGTTAATACAATTTGTAGATTCAGCAATTAAAAATAAACAGTTAAATTCAAATTGTGACTAAAGAATGAATTACTTTAGTATACAGATGTCCTTTGCAAGGATAGATGAAATTCAGTTGTAGTTGGTGTCCTTTATCATATTTGACCATGGGCCATATTTAAATTTTTAAAGGATGAATTAATTTTAATGATATATTTGTTTAGTGTATCCACAATATTATTTCATCATATATCAAAATGCGATTTGAGAATGGAATTTTACATCCTTATGTAAAAATCATTGCCGCCCCCCCAAGAATCCAGTGCGTGTTTTTTCAGCACTTTTCAGTTGAGAACAGCCAGCTATACTTTATCTATTTATTTCAGCTCTATTTTCTTTTTCTTTTCCTTTTTCTTTTCCTTTTCTTTTCTTTTTGTGGGTACCAGGAATCAAACTCACAACTATGTACTTACTAGGCAGGCATTTATCTTTTCTTATAAAGAAAAGATTTTCCCTTCCTTCTTTCTCCATTCCCCTCCCTGGTTCTTCTCTCCTTTTGAACAATTTCTTCCTACTTTGCAGTATCTATTGTACACTTTGGTCCTTATTTACTTTCAGTTTCTCACACCAGAGAGACAATGCAGTATTTACATGTGTATCCAATTTATTTCACGTGAGTGTGGTCCCAAGGTACATCCATTTGAGGCTGGGGATTTAGCTCAGTGGCACAAGTGCCTGCCTGGCAAGTGTGAGGTCATGAGTTTGATCCCCAACACACACACACACACACACACACACACACACACACAAAAGGAAAAAAAGTACATCCATTTAACTAGAAATACCTCAAGTTTATCTTTCTTTATAGTGGGCAGTACTCCATTATATTAAAATTACACTTTTTTATTCATCTGCGGTTGATGGTCATTTGGGTTGTTTCCAAGATTTAGCTATTACAAACTGTGCTGCTATAAACATGGGTGCACATATATTGCTGTGGTATGATGTTTTTAATTCTGGGAAGACACCCAGAAGGGGAATAATTGGGTCAAATGAGACTTTTAGTCCAGTTTTGTTTCGGTCTTTCTGAAACAGGGTCTCACTATGCAGTTCAGGCTGGCCTTCAGCTCACTTTGTAGCCCAGGCTAGTCTCAAACTTGCAACAGTCCTCTAGCCTCAGCCTCCCAAGTGCTGGGCCTGCAGGCATGTGCCTCTATGCCCAGATCTCTAGTCCTTGCTTTTTTCTGGACTCTCCACACTGATTCCTACAGTGGTTGTACCAGTCTGCACTCCCACCAACGTTGGAGAAGTATTCCTTTTTCCTCACAGCCCCTCCAGCATTTGTCACCGGTTGATTTCTTGATGACAGCCATTCTTTCCGGAGTGAGGTGCAATCTCAGCATTGTTTTAATTTGCATCTCTCAAATGACCAGTGATGTCGAACTTTTTTTTCATATATTTATTTTTTCATCTGAGAAGTTTGTATTTCTTCATCTGAGAAGTGCACATTCATGTCAGTTGCCCATTTTTGGATTGGATCTTTGTATTTGGAGGATGTGATTTTACTCAATTCTTTTTATATTCTAGATATAAACCCTCAATATGAGGGACAACTGGAAAAAATTTTTTCCACTCAGTAAGTTGTCTCCTCACTATATTGGTGATTTCTGTTGCTGTGCAAAGATTTTTAATAACATGAGATCGTAGCTGTTAATTCTTCGTAGTATTTCTTGTGTGATCAGGGTTTTGTTTATGAAATCTTTGCCTGTATCTGTGTCTTTAAGAGTTCTACATATTCTCTCTTCCACAAGATTCACTGTTTCTGTTTTAATATTTTGATCTTTGATCCGTTTCGATTTTAGTTTAGTGAATGTTGAGAGACATGGGTCTAGTTTTATTTAGGCATGTGGAAAAAGTTTTTCCAGCACCGTCTATTACAGAGGCTATCTTGGGCAGGGGGTTTAGTTCAGTGGCATAAGTGCCTGCCTTGCAAGCACGCAGTCCTGAGGTTGATCCCCCATACCAAAAAAAAAAAAAAAAAAAAAAAAGATAAGTTCATTTATTCACAGATTTGATTTAGTTCTGGTATTTCTTGGTTGATTTTTTTGTCTAGTTGATCTATCTGTAACAGTGGGGTATTAAGGTCCCCCATTACAACTGTGGGGTGCTTATTGGATTTTTCATGTCCATTAATATTAGTTTTTTGCAGTTGGGTGTACTGATTTTTGGTGCATGTATATTTATGATTGTTATGTCTTCCTCCTGTAGTTTTCCCTTAACAAGTATGTAGTGACCTTCTTCATCACTTTCGATCAATTTTGGCTTGAATGTCACATTATTTCAAATAGAATAGTTACTCTTCTTTTATCTGGCCTCCTGTCATGTATAGTATTGTTTTCCATCCTTTGATTTTCAGTCTATGAATTTCTTTTTTTAATTAATTGTGACTTTTTTGTCTTTCTGAGACAGTATCTCACAATGCTGGCTGTAAGCTCACTTTGGAGCCCCGGCTGCTCTTGAACTTGCAATGATCCTCCTGCCTCACCCTCCTGAGTACTGGGATAAATGGGTTTCTTGTATGTGGCATATTGTTGGATGTTGCTTCTTGATCCATCCTGCCAGATTGTTTCTTTTGACTGGTGAATTGAAACCACTTACATTGATGCTTCATTATAACTGATATGTATTGGCTTATTCTTCATAGCTGTTTTCCTGTTGTTGGTACGCTTCTTTCCCTTCTATGTAATTGCTTGCTCAGTCTGGTGGCTTCTTCCTTTTGGTGTTCTTGGAATTGTGGTCTTTGTTATCTCTTTCTAAAATATCATTCAGAGCATTTTGGAGAGGCTGTTTGGTGGTCATGAATTGCTTCCGTTGATCTTTTTCATGGAAGTATCTTTTTTCTCCATTGATTCTGAAAGATAGTTTTGTGGAGTATGTCAACCTGGGTTGGAGGTTGTTTTTGTTCAAGGTTTGAAATACTTCTCTCCAAGCTCTCTTTGACTTAAAGGTCTGTGTTGAGAAGTCTGCTACTATTCTAATAGGCTTTCCTTTATATGTGATTTGTTTCTTTTGTGTAACTACATTTAATATTTTGTTTTTGTGATGAAATCCTGAAACCTTGAGCTGCGCATGGTGACTCATGCCTATAATCCCAGCACTCAGGAGGCTGAGGCAGGAGGATCATTGCAAGTTCGAGACCAGCCTGGGCTACAAAGTGAGCTCAAGGCCAGCCTGAACTGCATTAGAGAGACTTGTTTCAAACAAAACAAAAACAAACAAAAAAAGTAAATCTGAAATCTTGATTATTATGCCTTGGTGTAGATTTATTTTGGTCATAGCTATTTGGAATTCTATATGCTTCATTTATTTGTATGCCAAAATTTTTTTTATTATTATTTAAAGAGAAAAAAAAAGAAATAAAATAAAAAAAACAAAGCAGTAAAAGGGTACAAATAATACAGAATTTCAAGGAAAAAAATACAGTAAGATATCACTAGTTAATAGGTTACATATTGTCATCTTTGAAATAGTTGTCCAAATTATAAAATTAAAGCATGTAAAGTGAACATTCATACAATGAGATTGCACACAATGCCGATCAATGATCCAACAAAAGTTTAATAATATGGATTTCCATCCTACACACTCAAATATACATGCAGTTATATCCCTTAGACCATCTTCCTTTCCTCTCTTTTTAATAACAATTACACTTTTTGGGTTTTTTTTTACTCCCACAATTCTTACTATTTTTTGGAGAGAATAAAACCTAACGTGGCTAAACAAAACAGAGTCGGTTAGAACAAAAGGATGGGCATAGTACATGATGTATGCCAAATTCTTTACCCATGTTTGGGAATTTTTCTACCATTACTTCTGTAAAGAGATTATTTTTATGTCATTTGTGCTAACTGCAGCTTTCTCTTTGATCAGTTGCATATTGTTCTTTGCTTCATCTTGCAGCTGTTGGATTGTTTTTTTATGGTCCCTTGCTATTTTTAAGATATTTTTCTTTCCATGGTTGCTAACCCAATCCTGTCTTCTAGATCTGATATTCTATCCTTGCCTTTGTTCAATGTATTGCATATGCTTTCAATGGAATTTTCAATCTCCTGGATATCTATCTTTTTGTTTTTGTTTTGTTTTGTTTTATTTTTGAGACAGGGTCTTACCAGGTAGTGAAGAGTGGTTTTGAACTTGACTATGTAGCGCAGGCTGGCCCTG